TGTTGGTGCCCATCCCGAGCCGCCGCCCCGTCTCCTTGGCGATGGCGAGCTGGTCGCCGGTGATCATCTTGACGTTGACGCCGAGGTGGAGCGCGCGGCGGATGGTCTCCGCGCTGTCGTGCCTCGGCGGGTCGAACAGCGGCAGCAGCCCGATGAACTGCCACGGGTCGCCGCCGCTGTCCTTGCTCTTCTCCGGCACCTGCTGGTACGACACGCCGAGCGACCGGAGCCCCCGGTCGGCGTAGCTGTCGATCAGGGCGTGGACCTTCTTCTCGGCGTCGGCGGCCATGTTGCAGAGCTCGATGATCTGCTCCGGCGCGCCCTTGCTCACCCTGTGCCAGTCGCCATTGCCGTCGATGTAGGTGATGGCGGTGCGCTTGTCGACGGGGTTGAAGGGGAGGAAGTGCACCTCCTGGATCCCCGCGCGTGCCTCCTTGGGGTCGTCGAGCATGTTCACGATGCAGGTGTCAATGGCGTCCTGGTTCTCGACGCGCGACGCCCTGGCGGCGTAGAGGAGGACCATGTCCTTGTCGACGCCCTTGGAGCACACCTCGATGAGGGTCTTGTCGACGGTGAGCTTGTTGAGCGTGAGCGTGCCGGTCTTGTCGCTGCAGAGCACGTCCATGCCGGCCATCTCCTCGATGGCCGTCATGCGCTTGGTGATGGCGCCCTGCTGCGACAGCCGGTGGGAGCCGATGGCCATGGTGACGGAGAGCACGGTGGGCATGGCGATGGGGATGCCGCCGATGAGGAGGACGAGGAGGTTGTCGATGCCGTCGCGGTAGGCGCGGTGCTGGATCGGGTACATGACGAGCACCTCGACCGCCATGCCGGCGCCGATGGAGATGATGCAGAAGTTGCCGATGGCGGTGAGCACCTGCTGGAAGTGGCCGACGTTGTTGGTGCTGTCGACGAGGTGCGCCGCCTTGCCGAAGAAGGTGCGCACGCCGGTGGCGATGACGACGGCCTCGATCTCGCCCTGCTTCACCGTGGAGCCCGAGAACACCTCCTGCCCCGGGTGCTTGTTCACCGGCAACGACTCGCCGGTGAGCGCCGACTGGTCGATCTTGAGCGGGTCGCCCTCGAGCAGCCTCGCGTCGGCGGGGATGATGTCGCCGAGCTTGATGCTGATGATGTCGCCGGGGACCAAGATCGCCGCCTCCTGCTCCTCCCACCTGCCATCCCTGAGCAGCTTGGTCTTGGGAGCCAGGCCGGCCATGAGCGCGGCGGCGGCGTCGCCGGCGTTGGCCTCCTCGATGTAGGAGATGGTGGAGTTGATGATGAGCAGGGAGACGATCCCGACGAAGTCCTGCCAGTCGGGCGGGCGGCCGCCGCCGTTGGCGAGGACGATGGCCATGATGGCGGCGATCTCCATGACCCACGACAGCGGGTTCCACATGAAGCCCAAGAACTTGAGAAGCTTGCTCTCCTTCTTCTCCTCCAGCTTGTTCGGCCCGTACAGCCGCAGCCGGCTCTCTCCCTCCGCTCCGGTGAGCCCCTTCCGGTCGCATTTCAGCTTCTGGAACACCTCCGCCACCGGCGCCTTCGACTGCACATCACAACATTTACACAACATTAGACGCTGACGAGGAGGAGGACGATGGACGAACACATGGCGTGCGTGCGTGCGTACCAGGTCGACGGAGTCGTCGTTGATGTCGTCGAGGGAGAGGGAGGACGCCATGGGGGGTTTATTGGGAAGATGATGAAGACGATGGTGGCCGGTGCCCGGCGGCGGGGTGGGCGGCGCGGGCACGGAGGGAGGGGCGGCGGCGGGCGAGCTGCTGCCTCCCTCTCTCCTCTCCTCTCCTCCTCTCCTTCTCCGCGTGGGTGGAGGGGAGGGGCGGGGCGGGGCGGAAGACGGCGAGGCAATGGCGGTCGCGCGGGGCGTCTTATAGGGTCTTTTCCGGTTTCCGCCATGGGCGACCGAGCGAGCTTCGCGGGGCGCCTCCGCCTGCGCGCACGCACCGGCGCTCGACCGCCGCACGTGTCGCGACTTCGCCACGACGCCGCGTTGTGAGGCCCAGGATTCCGCGGGAAAATGGGGAGAAAATACGGCTTACATGCAAGACAGCAACAAGATCGGCTCTAGCAACAGTACTGCATACACGCAAGACAGCAAGACCAAAAAAAAAAAAAAACCACTGACGTAATATGGTGAGAGGGGTACAATTGCATGTAAGATATAATATATTTTAGGGCCATTTGATTTGAAGGAAAAATACAGGGAATTTAGAGGATTTTATTTCTATAGAAAAAATTCTTATGAGTGCCTTTAAATTAAAGGATTGCATCATATCTAATCCTTTGATATTCCTATGAAATGGATAATACTATAGAGATTTTTGAAGGAAACTTAGCAACAGCTCAAAGCTCTTCGAATTTTTTTTAGTCTATCTCTTTCATCCAATTCCTGTTTTTTTTTCTATAGTCCAATCAAACCGTCATTCCTGTATTTTGCAATTCTCTGTTTTACACTTCCATTACGGTTAGAATCCTGTGTTTTTTATTCCTTCGTTTTTTCATTCCCGCGATTCAAATGGGCTCCTTAAATTTGAATTTCAAACCATTTTTTCTTTTAAAATATTTATATGATCTAATATCCGATTACATCGTTGTATTTATTACAACTAAATCTTACAACAATAGCTCGCATGATTATATTTTGACGAAAAAAATGTATAGGTTTTGACAAATTGATTTTTTTATGTTTCAAAGGTGAGAAGATAATGTTTCAACTAAAAGTTGACCATGTTTCATATTTTTATTTTTATTTTTGCAATGGTTTTTACTAATATTACATATTTACATATGGTATTATTTGGAAGTTGCAGAGAATATTTTTATTTTCTAATGTTACACTAGATCATTTGCAAAAGTTGCACGTTTTATTTTTGCGATGTTTGAATAGTTACAACTAGTTACGACTGAATGTATCACGTGTTTCATGTGTGATAATAAAGATCTTGTTTTAAAGATTTAATCATAACAAATATAACCGTGTGATCGGATTACAAATCATATAAATAATTTAAGATTAAGAGAGAAAAGTTTGATAAAAAAAGGTGGTTATACAGTAAGGAAAGAGAGAGGGAGAGTACTCTATGCACCAAGCATCGGGTGGGTAGAATTGCACCTGATTTTTTAAAAATATGGGGTGCCGAATCCATAGTCTCTCCGAGGAGAAAGGAGGGAAAACAAATCTGCTTGCCTTTCAGGTTTAGAAATTCAGCGGAGTCAGCGATGATCGCTCGGAATTCACGATAGTACCATGTTATTGCTAAATTTTACTCCCTCATTTCGTTTTTGCATTTTCTTTCCTAATCAAATTTCTTAAGTTTGTTCGATTTTATAGAAAAACATAGTAGCATTTTCAACACAAAACAAACATATTTTCACAATATATTCAATATTAGATTTTTGCTAAATATTCCCTCAGTTCGTTTTTGCATTTTATTTCCTAATCAAATTTCTTAGTTTGATCGATTTATATAAAAACATAGTGGCGTTTTCAACACAAAACAAACATATTTTTACAATATATTCAATATTAGTTTTAATAAAAACTAATTTGATGTTTTAGATATTGCTAAAAACTTAATCAAACTTAACAAACTTTCAAAAATGTTAAACTAACTTAGGCCCTGTTTAGATTCAACTTTTTTTTTTCTTCGAACTTACAACTTTTCCATCACATTGAACTTTCCTACACACACACCTACACACACACAAAAGGGCTCAATAAGGGCTGCGTTCAGTTCCACGCCAAAATTGCTAGTTTGAAGAAATTAGAACGTGTGTAGGAAAGTTCGATGTGACGGAAAAATTAAAAGTTTAAAGATAAAAGTTGGAATCTAAACAGGGCCAAGGTACCACAAAAGGGAGTCCCTCTCTTAACTCACCAATTCGTAGGAAGCATGAAAGCAAAAGAACTCTGCAACAAGGGGACAGAAACAACATACACCCAGAAAGGACAGGGGCAGCATTTTATTTTTCTTACAAAACGAGCACCAACTTAGCAAACATATCATGCCAACATCCTATGAATCTGTCATCTCATATTACTAACAAAATTCATAAATCTAATCAAAAGAGCACACGATCGAACAATATTGCTCCAAGGAGGCCTACATGAAGACTGATATTTAGAAGCATGCAAAAGCATCATTGTCCTAAGATCTCATTGGTTTATAACTCATTGAAGTATAAGCATGTCTCCTCCAAAGTGATGCAGCACACAAATTAACCAACAAGGAAGAACTTATGTGCCCTTTGTGATTACAAATGGGTACAGCAGGTCACGGCTAAATTAACCCAACCTAAACCAACCAACATCTCAGCAGCTATCTCATCCTACATACTAAATGGTGCAACTGTTTACGGTACTAAAAGCTACAGCAGAAATGGATTCAAGCAATAGGCAGGGTGAAGTTTTTACTACTACCTCCGTTTTAGGTTATAAGACTTTCTAGCATTGTCCACATTCGTATAGATGTTAATGAATCTAGGCACACATATATATCTAGATTCATTAACATATATATAAATGTGGGCAATGCTAGAAGGTCTTATAATATGAAACGGAGGAAGTAGCTTCAAACTGGATTGCAGCATTAGCATGTATTCAACCAGCCCATGGTATTTTTCTGGAAATTCAATCATCAATCTAGTGACAAATTCCCTACAACTCCAGAAATGCCCAATTGGTTAAACTCACTGGAGTAGAAGCAGCTGTGCTTCGGAAGTTAAATCCTCCAAAGATTTCTAATGTCCCCGTAGAAATGCTATCAAAGGTTCTTTGCTCTCTGACTAAGAACAAACATGCAACCCCTGTGATTACAAATGGCTACAGCAGGTCACTGTTAAATCAAGGGTAAAAGTATAGAGAAACTCACCAGCCCAATCCCCTACCAAAATCTCAACAGGTCATTCATCTACACCCTAAACGGTGTAGCTATTTACAGTACCAAAAACTAAAGCAGAAATGGATTCAGGCAATATGCAGATAATCAGATATTCAGATTATGCTAACAAGGGAGTTCAACTGATCAATCCACTGCAGCTGAGATAAAATTCAGACAACTTTAGGCAGGATAAGAAAGTGGTTCTTTAATCAGCAAAATTATGATGCTCCAAGATACACACAGCTACTGATAGTCTCTTCAGGACAGGCAAAACCTCGAAACGAACACGACGCAACCCATAAGCCCTAGCTTCTCCTTCTTCTTCTTCTTCCCAGGGCAGCGGCGTCCGGCGCCTCGTCCTCCTCTCCTCCCCAAGCTCAGAACCCGAGCTTGGTGCGGCGCCAGTGCCTGCGCTTCGCGTTGTACCTGAAGGACACCAGCAGCTCAGGGATCGGATCGGAAACTGGTGTCTCTCCCTTCCATAGACGGATCGGATTCAAGGCGGCGACGGCGGAGGTTACCTGATGGTGTTGTCGGTGCGCATGCGGATCCAGTACGGGATGGGGCGGTTCTGGCGCATCTTCTTCGCCAGCTTCTTCTTGATCTGGAACGTCTTGTGCGACGGCTGCGCCGAACACCCAATCAATCAGAGGAGTAAACAAATCCCGAGACGAGAAGAGCGGCAGGAGAGATGAACCGAGGTGCGTACCATGGCGGCGGCGGCGGCGCGAGGAAACCCTTGGAACGGAGAAGCCGCAGCATTTCGGGGCCGTGAGGGTTTATATGCAGATGAGCTGTGGGCCAGATGGGCCTAATGGGCTCATATTGGGCCTGTTAGATGGCCGTATTCCTTGCCCAACTATGCATGGACCGGAAATTCCGGCCATTCATGGACTCGTTTCGATGGGCTAAATATAGGTATGGGCCTAAGAATACTTAGGTTTTCTTCATGTCATGCTAAATATACGAATGAAAAACTTTTTCTCCAAAAAGATGAAAAAATAATGAACAACACAGAGAACCAGTAAATAAAAAAAGTGTTCCCACTTGTAACTCTTTCTCTTAAATTAGGATTTTTTTTCATCCTTTGCTGTTTAAGTTCTTTGACCAATCCTTTGGAACAAAATATAAAAGATCCACGCTACAAACATTAGGCCTTCCATTTGGAATGGATAAAATTTGTAAAAAAAAAAAGAAAAAAAACGGTAGAACCCATGTGCTCCATTAAAAAAACTCAGACCGACGAGTCGAGAAAAATCTTTTGGGATTAAAAATCAAATTTTGGTCTTAATCTCACCATTAATTTTTTCATGTAAACTCCCAATCTCCTTCCTTCGAGTTGCCAAACAAGCCATATGAGCACACTTCTACTAACAGGAGTGTTTTTCTTTCTTTCTTTCTTTCTTTTCTCGCAAAACCCTAGCTTGGTCGGTGTCCCCAATACTGAAGGCTCTACCACTGCGCTACAAGCGTTTTCACATAAAAGAGGTCAAGAAAGGCGTAAATATCCACGAGAAAGAAAAATGTCTAAAATTCCTCCAATTCAAACTTATGATAAGATGCATCAGCAATGGGTCGGTCCAGTTGCATACTTGCATCCCTGCTCGCCGACATACAAGTTATCGGGAAATAACACCATCTCTGCTGTACTCTAAAAATCTTGATGCTGATTAGGGACACGTGGCACGCCCTGAATTATTCTGCAATCTCATTGGCCACTAACATCGTCTTATGATTCATCGACATCTCGCAATCATGGTCACATGGGGTTTTCGGATGCTGCCCTTTGCCAGTGGCAGAGGAGACCTGACCTTCTTCAGAGACTAATTAAAGAATTTAAGCGCTGTTCATGTGCCGACCAAGATTAAGCGACACGTGTAAATACTGTTTGTTTGCATGTCTAATCAGGCCACTTGCAATGTCAGATCGTTTCTTAACCACTTGGCAGTCCATGTTGGTATGTTCCTTGCATGTTTTTGTTTTGCTACATTATGCATATAAATATTCCAATTCAGAAGAAAAGAAAACCTCCAAAAACAAATGAAAGCTAGGTTGCCATGATCTTGAATTTGTGATCATGCTCTTTGAATCAATTGTGATCTTGAGAGTTATATTTAAATAAAACAGTATGCAATGCATTTTGCTGAATTGAGAAGGGAAAAAAAGGATACTAGTTTATTAAAGATTTGCACTGCATTTTGCTGAGAGTTGTAATACTACTTTATTAAGATAACAGATTGTGATCTGAGAGTTATTATATTTAATTAAACAGCATGAAATGCATTTTAATTACTGAATTGAGAGAAAGAAAAAGGATACCACTACTACTTGATTAAAGATCTGCACTGCATGATGATACTGATACACACATGTTGCCGACAATTTGTGAGGTTTTGAGGCATTCAGCTAGTTTTAATCTGCCAACTGGATTGAACTCGGATGCAACAACAGATCATCGTATTCTCAAAAAAGAGCATCAGATTCGCAATGTCACAATCGTCAGATAATGAGTTCATATTCCGTGTGAGGAGGGGGCCAAACGACATCAACATTAAACACGGATCACAATCCAGTGCAGAGATGATCAGAGTGACCAACGTCATTTGACCCATGTACAGAACTGACATGTAATCCTCTGCCTGCTTCCCAATAAAATTTCAGGTAATGTACAGTGCTTGCAACATATAGAGAGTAAAATGAAGCTGTTTTTTGGGTAAAATGAAGCATATAGATAATTAACACATATAATGTGTTAAGATATCAAGATCTAGATAATGAGATATTAAGATATATGCTGTTGAAAGAATCCTTAATTAGCTTGGGACTTTGGTCAGCAACTCTTCCAGTGAATCATGTGTTAGGTAGCAGGTAGCAACACCCTGCTAGCTTCCATTGTTCATGTACATCTTTTCTCTCTTTTTATTCTGAAACCTTCTTTAGTAGTAATAAAGATTAGGCAGCACATGGCATGGAAACGTTAGTAATCTTTCACAAGAACATGCCATGTTTTCCATGCTCCATAGCTAGCTAAGCTTTTTAGCTTAGCAGCAGCATGGTGAGTGAGTGAGTGAGTGACAAGATTTCATCAGCATGGTAGCATCTAGCGATGCATGCAGAGCTACTAACACAGTGATGTTTGTGTAGCCACAGCGCCACAGATCGTGCGGATCATGGCCAAGATTTGTACTCGGATCTTTGCTTCTCTCCACTCCTAAACTCTGAACCCAACCAATCCAAATCCAACACAATCCAATCCAATCCAATCCAATCACTGACCTGATCTGACCATCCATCCATCATCACGGTCACCGTCGTCGTCGTCTTCCTCCTCCTCCTCCCCCATCGCCGGCGTAGGGGCCGGCCTGACGAGCCGCCGTGCAGCCACGTAGCCGCCTCAAGAACCATACTGATAACCTGTTTCTCTGAACTTTTTTTTTTCTGTTTCTGAACTTTTCTCTGTGCCGGTTAGGCGGATCACGGATAGATCCTGTCAGTGTTCGTGTTCATGCATGCAGGATTGCAGCATTGGCCGGCCGATCGATCGGTTCTTGCCTGTGGCCTTGTCCTTTCGACCATGACAGACTCCCAGTAAGAACAGTTTGGGACTGTGGCTGAGCAGAGCCATAAAATTCTCGTTTTGTAAGCTTATCATTCAAGAGAGGAACTATGTGCGCATCAGCAGATTGTTGTTGCAGTAAAGGTTCAGTACAGATTTGTTTTTAATTGGCTGGGCTTGAACAGCATGTGCTGCCATGTTGTGAGGCTCATTAGATTAAGCTCTATCCCTATTATCTCTATGTGTATAACTAGTAGTTGTGATGTCCAATTCTTGTGAGGTTCAATGCATATAGTATGTGAATCAGTGAATGGATGCCAATTCAAGCATGGAAGCTGCAGAGGAGACAATATGGTTATTAGGTCATTTGTCAGAGGATTGATAAACAATTAATCATCAGAGTTAACCAGCATGGAGGAAGGGTTCCAAATTCTATCAGCAGTGATTAGACAGACTAGCTACTCTCACTGTCACCTAAGAACACTACTATTTAGAACCCACATGGCACAACAGTATAGTTTAGTGTCTCAACCATGAGCCTCCAAAACAAACCCTGGTCAGTGCCCATACCCTGACTCACACTGATCATCAGGAAAAATCCAGCATAACACTGTACATGGTAGCAGCATGTATGTACATTGCACATTGTACTGATCCCTGATTAGAATTAATGGCCTGCATTATGCATTAGCGGCTGATTTTTTTTAGATAGTAAAATTATTTACATCCCCAGCCTCTGTCGTTAAGCATGTAGCCAATAAGTTCTAACATGAATAGAAAAACATAAGGACAAACTCCCAACTTCCTCTTCATTACGATCAGCTAAAATAACGATAAAAATTCACAGCTGGTTGAGCCCATTTAGATCCTATTTTAGAGAGCTTCTGATAACCATAGATTCTTCTAGATTGTTCAATTCTCCTAAATAGTTCAAAATTTCACCTATCTATACTCAGAGTAGTGGTGGTGGCCACCAACTCCCAACTTTCTTTTAGAAAAAAAAAAGACATGTCAAGTACTCTCACCAACTCTCTACTTTTTATAGGAAGAAAAAAGAATGGTGTGGGACTAAAGAATCCACATGTCAGTAACAAATATATAGAATATTTAAGAGATGGTAATAATATATTAATGATAATTTTATTTAACTAATTTAAATCCCATTGCAGCTCATGGACAATATGCTAGTATTTTAAGAAAATGTAGTTACAGAATATAGAAAATAAACTAGAAGTCAGAAGCTGATAAAACAGCTTTCATATTCTCATCAGCTAGCTTCTCATCCATATTATGAGAAGGTGTAGTTGTAAAATCCAGAAAATATATAAACTATAAACTGAAAAGCCCAGCTTATTTAGATTCTCATCAGGTAATTTCTCACTGGCTATTTTCCAGGATCTTAAGCTCCTCAAACGGAGCCTTAATTTGCTAAAACACCACACTAGCGTCCAACATGAGAAGGGACGAGCCAAGATCGTGTGGTGGATACGGTGCATGCATGTGCACAGCCATCGGGTTCAATGACACACAGCGCGCGCGCACACACATGCAGGCACTCAGAGCTTCAGACAATTGCAGAGTTCTGAACTGACGCTGAAGATGCACATACTTACAGCTGCACAAGCAGGAGGCAGACATGATAGGCAAAGGCAATGCATGAGTGATGACTGATCATGCCTCAGCAGGCGCAGCAGCCATTGCAATATTTGCAAGGTTTTTGTCTTTTGGGGGAGGGCTTGGGTTCAGTTTAGTTCCATCTGCATGCTCTTCCCAAGGTGCAGATCAGTGCAGACCCTGCTCTTCCCAAGGTGACACTCTGGCTCCATGGATGGTGCCAACCAGCTACATTGTTAGCAGCCCAATAAGGTTATCTCAACATCTAGCTAGCCATTGCAACTGGTTGGTTGGCTTGGCTGTGATCATCATCTATTCTAGTATAGTATAGCTAGCTAGGATGATGTATAATGGGCTAATTGAGCTTTTCACAATTTGGTTTAACTAGATTATCTTTAGTTACACTATCTGCCCCCAAAAGAATCAACTTCTAGGGACAAATCTGAACAAGAATGATCCTAGCATATTATTGTGAGTTATTGGCTACATGGATCTTAGTTATGCAAAGGTCAAGAGTGTTCTTGGTACGAGTTATATCATCTTGATGTATTTTGTGTTGAGATCAATAGAGCATCCATTATCTGAAAAGATATAGTTGCGTGCATTCCCATTAAGGGCCTCCCTAGGAACCAAGGATTTTCATAGGAATTTTAATGAAAGCCCTTTAGATTGTAGGAATTGGATGATTCCAAACATTATTACATCAAAGCTCATCATGTTTGCATTTCCTTCGGAAAGTCCAAGGCAACATGTATCTTAATATCTTGTCTTTTATCTACTATTACCCATTCGAATGAAGTATTTCATTCAAAATTCTTGTGGTTTTCCTATGAAGTAACCAAACATCTTCTCTACCAAATTCCCGGTATCTTCGTTTCCTATAGGATTCGGCTACTCATGACACTTGATTTATGTTTGTTCCTATTGCTATGTTTTTCCTATCCCGCGTTTCAAAGGAACCCTAATGCAGAGACTGAGAATTGTACTTTCATTGTAAAAATGATTACCCTAGCCATGACTAGGATAAAAACAGAGAGTTTTATATTAAAAAAAAACTTCAGTAGTAGTACCATTGCACAAGAAAATGCTTGTAGGCTAGTTTGGGTTCTTGTGGGGAATCCGAAGTTCAGAGCTTAGTAGCATGCTCTCTTTTTTCCTGAGAGCATACATTAGTTTTCTCTGGTTTACCTACCATATGACATTATAACTGAACTAACATGGTTGCACTGTGGATAAGTCTAGAGTTAGGCCTGAACTAAATAAACTAGATTAATTATTATAACCTCATTCTTCCCTTAATATAGGTCACTGGATTAGGTGATTACTTTCACTGGATAATGCAATGCCATGATTTGGATGTTCTAGGGGAATATTGTCGACACTAGCCTTGACTTCTGCATGTCCTCTATCTTTTTATAATCAAACTTTCTACTACTAATAAGTAAACAAAAAGGGAAAATGGCAAACAAAAGCTAAGCTAAGTACTCCATCCGTTTCTAAATATAAGTATTTGTAGGATCCAAATTTTATACACAATATGAGTATTTTTTTTGAAACATTACACAATATGAGTATTTTCGAGACATTGATTTCAATCCACGGAAATTCAGGTATTTTCAACCTATCATGTGCTTAGTAGGGGAATCTGAGCAAGTCAAAATTCAAAATTTAACCAATAAGATGTCTGAAAGGGATATTTTTTTCACTTCATTCTTAGTCTTTGCTAATTACTCCCTCTGTCCCAAAATATAACCACTTCTAACATTTAGAATTTGTCCCAAAATATAACAACTTCTCCGTCAATATTCTCTTCTCAACTAATCACAATCCTCCACCATTCAATTTTCACACCTACCTCTAATTTTTCTCCAATCACAACACTCCCCTCATTTAATCATACCAAATTTCTTAATAACTGTATCCAACCCTAAAAATGCTTATACGTAAGCAATAGAAATGCAAACATTTTCTGAGAGGGAGGAGTGTCACAGGGAGTACAAATCAGAGGGAACAAATTTGGCTCGACCCAGGTGGGCCCCAGGAATCATAGACTGATCAGGCACAGAGGCGGGCCCCACCCTGGAGCTGGGTTGCTTTGAATTCAAACAAGCCGGGAATTGAATTGAACTGAGCTCGCTACTCTTTCTGCTTCACTTCCCTCCCTATTTATACCGCCCCCATGGCTCGCCTCACCACACTGATCACCTCGACCTCACTTCCTCCTCAACCTCGAGCTCACTCCTCGCTCTCCCGCCGCGAGCGCGCGCTCTCTCTCGCCGCGACCACGCGCAATCCGTCGCCGAGCTCGAGGACGTCGGCAATGGCGCGGCCGCAGCAGCGGTATCGCGGCGTGCGGCAGCGCCACTGGGGCTCATGGGTCTCCGAGATCCGCCACCCTCTCCTGTAATTCATCGTCGCCATCCTCCTCCTGATTGATTGATTCTTTGTTTCTTCCTCGCGTAGATTGGTTTCTTGGCCATGGCGGTTTGATTTCTTGGTTGGGCTTGCAGGAAGACGAGGATCTGGCTGGGCACGTTCGAGACGGCGGAGGACGCGGCACGCGCGTACGACGAGGCGGCGCGGATCATGTGCGGCCCGCGCGTGCGCACCAACTTCCCCCACGACGTCGCCGACGAGGCCGCGCCGCCGCCGCCGCCGCACAGCGCCGCCGCAGCCTCCTCGTCGTTCCTCTCCGCGGCGCTCGTCGCCAAGCTCCACCGCTTCAACCTCGCCTCCGTCCAGGCTGCGCAGCGCGGCAACAGCAACGACGACGACTCCACCACCTCCTCCTCCGCCGCCGCGTCGTCGCGCGCCGTGATTCCGTCCCTTCCCGCCGCCGCCGGCGCATTGGGCAATGCGGCGGCGACGGCGGAGTGGAGCGGCGGGTTCCTCGAGGAGCAGTACGTGGACCAGATGATCGAGGAGCTCCTCGACTCCAACTTCTCCATGGAGATCTCCTGCTGATGTGCCCTGTTCATCTACCTGTTCTTCTCTGCTCCATCTCCTGTTTCTTTCTCTCTCTCTTTTTTTTCTTTCTTTTTTTTTGTTTTTTTAGTTTAGTAAGCTATGTGAGGAAGAACTCTGATCGAGGTTAGTTTGGTCACAGTGAGTTCTGGAGCAGCTTGTGTATACGGTAGCATCATTTAGAGCATAATAGGGTTGCAGTTGAGACCTTCAATTTTTGTTCTGCTACTTTAATTAGTGTCATGTGCTTAATTTCATCTTCAAGCTTTTCATGCTCCCATGGTGATAAGTTAGGTTTATATTTTTTATTACTACTGCTCTTATTTGTTAGAGTTCGATGTGCACGTAGGGCTTGTTTGGTTAAGTGCCAAAGGCTACCGTGTTAAAACTTATGTGTGCCTCAATTATTTTTAACAAGTCATTAGAGGGGAGAGATTCCCACCTGAATTTTCCATTCATGCGAAAATATGTAGTAGGGCGTGTTAAAAAAGTCTGGAGTTACTCAGTTACATAGATTGCAGGTGAAGAGAATTCGATATGCCACATTTTACTAGTTGCTATAATTGTTACAATTATAATTATAGTCCGGAGAGATTCCACTCTCAATGGTTGATATAGTTGCGACATATCACCCTTTACTAGGCCTTATACCCACTCGCATGTTATATACTCAATTTTCCTTTTTTAACGTTGTCACGCTCTATGACCAATTAAGTGTTGGTCAACTTTTGTATCGATAAAATGAGGTTTAGTCGCCAAACGAACAGCTACGTAGTCTCCAGCACACTTTTGACACGCCACACTATGCGTCGCTAATTTTTTTTGAAAAATATTATATTGTGAGGTATATAATAAAATATATTTGTTTGAAAGTTTTTTTATGATGAATCTGGTGATGACATTTTTACAAAACACATGATGGTGTTTGAAACTCATGAAGATAAAGATTAAGTTGACGCATGTAAAACGATAAAGCTATTAGCACATGATTAATTATGTTTTAATTATTACAAATTTGACGAATGGATATATGTAATATTTTAAAGCGATTTCTATATGGAAAGTTTTCGCACGGATCGCACCATTTGAAAAACATGCTAACAAAAATCAAGGTAAAATATATATATCCTCATGGGAACAGAAAAGGGTATAATCTTACACACTCTTCATCCAGGGTGTTTACAGTATAACTGCACGTGTTTTAAAATGAGATCTCTCATAAGTCCAAGAGAGCACAAATCAAAGCCAAGCAAATGGTGTAATAAATAAAGCTGATAACAACAGCGACAAGAAAGTGGCAATTCCCGGTCCATACCAATTCAACCCAAAAGTCAGCGAAAATCATCCCAGTTTCGCAAATTTTTCAAGACATTTCTGTCCACTAAAACCCCAACATCCCCCACATTGGATCCAAATCCAATCCACCACCAACCCTGACAGAGGATAAAATCGATATTGATATAGGTGTATTTAGATTCAGGAGTGAAAAATTTTGACGTGTCACATCGGATATACGGACACACATTTAAAGTATTAAACGTAGGCTAATAACAAAACAATTACAGATTCCGCCTGTAAACTGCGAGACAAATTTATTAAGCCTAATTAATCTGTCATTAGCAAATGTTTACTGTAGCACCACATTGTCAGATCATGGAGTAATTAAGCTTAAAAGATTCGTCTCGCAATTTACACGCAATCTGTGTAATTAATTTTTCTTTTTGCCTATATTTAATACTCCATCTATGTGTCCAAACATTCGATATGACATGGTGAAAAAATTTTGCCAGGCGATCTAAACAGGCCAATATTGCAAACATGCCAATTTCTGAAGTTCTTACCAGTGTGTCTGTCCATCAGATATTCAGATCAAGATTCAGGCAAGTGCAGAAAGGGCAAAAGAAAAAGAGGAAGAGATCCAACTTTTATGCGCTACACCGTGGTCCGATCGAGCCCCCTGACGAGCGCACGAGGCGTACGAACGCAACGAATCCCCCCGCGATCGATGTGGGAGGAGATCCCGGCATCCCAAGGACGAATTTTCAGGCGCAGGAGATCCACCTGCAGAGCAGCAGCAGCAGTTACACCTCTGAACTTTCTGAACCTCACATTGCATGCAATGCAGGGCCATTGATGGCGGCCGCCGGGGCGGCGTGCTGCGGCGAGGATGGATTCATTTCATTTCAGCTCGCTCATGATGGTGGCCATTGCGGCCTCTGCACTAATCGCGCTGGCTTGCAGTGCAGTGCAAGAGAAAGAGAGAGAGAGATTCAGAGATCATCGCGGATGTTGTCTGCATGAGAGATTTCTGTCCGTATTTGTCAAAAGAATCCGCGGCTTGGTCGGGGAGCAATCAATGGTGCATTGTCCGATCCGTTCGCCATTGCAGCTGCAGATTGTAGCAGCTATAGCAGCAATGCAGTGTGATAGGATAGGGGGCCTGCACGGCCGCGAATTTGCTTCCCCTGACGCTAACGGGTGGTGGCTAGTGGAAGTAGTTAGATCAGATAATGGCAGACAGTATCGGCGTGTTCGTATTTCGTTTGCTGAAGATTTCCACGGCAATTTTCAGCCATGGTGAACTATGCTTGTTTTGTGTTAATTTCCCTTCACACGTATAAGGGACCACAAGAACATATTTGGGCGCCACCGTGTACAACATATTCGGGCCATAACGAGTATCACGGTTAGGTATGGATCTGCTGTTATTGACGAAAGCGTCCATTTTTGTCTCCCTTAACTGTAGCCCGAGTTTGATTCGTATTCCTCAGTAGGGTATAAAGCCTTCCCGAATTATTAAAACCCAGTCATTTCATCATCCATACTGGATGAATACCCCGCCGCGTTGCTGCGAAAAATTAAGTTGCATAATATGTACAAATAAGATGTAATTTGATAATCAAAACTAAAACAATTTGATACAATTTTGAGCCTAAAAATAATTAAGATTGCATGTTTTTAAAAGAGAAAAAAGAAGAGACAATTTGAACCATAGATGTATCATCCAAAGGCTAGAAATAATTGTGATGATGTGGCTTAATGAGAGAAGAGAGAAATAACATTAACTACACTTAGTGGGGATGAACTACATAAGTATATAGGATTAGAGAGACGGGAGAGAGGGTGGTGGTTCTTGGACACGCACTTTGGTACACACATGATCTCGATAGCTTCTGCCTTTTTTCTAATAACTTTTCTTCTTCTTAATATATTCGGATGGCCTCCTGGCAAAAGAGGAGAGGAGAGAGAAGGGAGATGTAGGCCTCCTCTCGATGTCACTAGTCGTCTCTCTCCTTCACCTCCGACGCCACCGGTCTTGTCTCCACCGTGTCGCTTCCCACCTTCCGTGCTTCAAGACCCAGCCCATTGCTAGAGCTCGAAAAGGTTGGGTCATTGGACGACCGTCCTCCGTTCCCATCCACTCGGTGGGGTAATTTGGTGTTGTTGGTGACATGATGGCGAGGCTGGGTGCAAGGAAATGAGCCTACAGCAGCACTCCTCCGAGCTTAGTCACGACAAGGTTGCAAGGGCAACAACACTATTGAGAGCGACTGAGGGATGAGTGAGGTGGCAGCTGGGATGATCCTTGATCTGGAGACAAGAGCGGATCCAGCATGGCAGCAGTGGAGCTCGAGCCTCCACTACTGGCACGAGTACCATGAGAGCCCCCACTAATTTTTCTTGCCATACTTAGATGGGAAAGATGAGCTATAGCTTTGTATATTTCATTTAGATCCCCCCCCCCCCCCGCTATTTTCTTTCTGGATACGCCACAAAGACGCCTCATAGTACAAAACCGCCATCAAAACTGCTCAGGGAGGTAAAATGATCATGTTTTAATGGTTCAGGGAGATTTTCTACCCAATTTTGTGCTACACGAAACAAGACTCGGGGTATAGTTGAGGGAGTAGGAATGGACTTTCGCTTTGCTTTATCTTGATGGCGCAATTGTTGTTCGTCTGAATGAATAAATGGTCCAACTTCTTGGCCCGAAATGTAGCTTCGCAGGTATCATTCAGAGAGAACGAACTCGTTCAAGCGTCTGAATTTTCCTTTTGAAAAGTGAAGGAACTACACTACTATAGTCAAACAGAAGGCTAACCAATGCATTGCAGTATTGCACACAAAACAAAGGCTCCAAATTTCAACCGAACAAACGCAAAAATCCAGATGTGACTCATAAAACCGGCAGATATTACTGGTACCTTCCTAACTTTGAAACTACTGGTCCGATCAAAAAATTAAACAATCTGCAAATATCCAAAACTCTTTTTATGGAGCACATTACTAGTAAACTCTTTTAATACTACTACTAGTAGTCTGGTAGTACTACCTTGCTTACTTGGACCAGGTGCTTGACTGAGTATTCAGTAAGCAGCTTACGCTGTGTGCTTTTCCACGCGTGAGGAAGTTAAGCTTGGAGATCACATTTATTCACACTGACCAAGCAGCAAAGCGAAGGCAGGTGAGGTCAAAACTACCAACTCCCACTGTTTAATTTGGCCGCTAAACTTTTCAGATATTCACACCAGTGGGAACCATCGAGTTAATCACCATCTTTTACACGATCATCTATTAGTTGATGTTCAATCCGCCGTGCCGTTCATGATTATTACTGCATATAAAAGTGTTCAGAGTTTCAGATTATGGGACCAAAGGTTCAGAGTTTCAGATTGAAGTGTTCGACTGAGTATACATTAATCTTTTTCTGTCTCTGCTTTCTCTGAAGGGAGAAAAGGGTCATGACTCATTGACTCATGAGTACTTAGCTTGATTAGGCATGCTTTGTTGAAAAGATTATGAGATTTTGCCACGAAATGCGAATAGTGAAGAACAGTGCATTCATACTCTTAAGGCTGAGTTCGGCTGTAGTCGTGGGATGAGATATTTTAGGCACGTGAAACGAAATGAGCTATTAGTATATGATTAGTTGAATATTAATTATTATAAACTTAAAAACTAGGTGTATTTATTTTTTTAAAAGAAACTACTATAAAAAACTTTTACATGAAACATATCGTTAATGCAGTTTTGGGAAACATGCTCATGGAGAATTAGAAAGTTGTCAAACCCAAACTCACTTCCGAACTCACCCTTAGGATGTGTTCATTCCCGCAGAACTGCTGAGCTACTAAGTGGCTTGGAAACTAGAGCAAGTAAATTAGTGCATGGTTAATTAACTATTAATTATCATAAACTTAAAAATTAAATTATATTTGATTTTTTATATGAAGTGCACTATTTATTAGTTTGGAAAACATGTTCATGGAGAACACGATATTAGCTTTGTCTATATGGAGATCCAAATGCAGCCTTACTACTCTTACATTTCAGTAATTCAGATGAGATTTTCCACGGTAAAAGAAGTGAAAGGTCATTAGCGTGGGATTAATTAACTATCACAAACTATATATATATATAATCTTTATTTAAAAGTTTTAAATAAAACATACCATTTAGCGGTTTAGAAATATGCCCGTAAAGAATGAGAGGATTGCTTACCTGAGTTGTTGAATGAAACTGAGCTACTGTAGTGTAGTTAGTTGTCAGTGGAGTATACTGTAGTTATCTCATGGAAGAATGGACACGTCCACAACCACAGACAGGTTATTGGAGGATAGAGATGACGAACACGACAGAAACAACAACAGAGATAGACCAAGCCATATATTATTAAGAATTTCGTATCATGTGTCCATGATATAAAGGACCGAGATATTCTTTTGCCTGATCGGAAGTGATTGTTCTGTAATAATATATGGCTTCCGATCAACAATCATTTACGATTTCCGAACAACCTTTCTTTTATTAGTGAGGAGATATTGATTGATAAATCATTAAATACCACTGTTAGAAGTGACAAATCATCAGTGATCAAGTACTATTTAATACTATCTCCGTTCTGAAATATAAGAAGTTTTAGGTTTAAACACATGTATTAGAAAAGTGAAATTAAATAGAAAAAAATGTAATTGGTTTAGAAATACTAAGTATGTAAATGATGGAAGATTGTTATCGGTTGAGAAGGAAATACATGTGAAGATATTATTATTTTTTAGATAAATCTAAGTGCTATATTTTGAATTGGAGGGAGTAGATCAGTAGATGTTGGTGTAAGTAAAATTAGATGGGTACCTTGCGTGTTGGTGTGGATGAATTGTGCGATGATGCAATAGATGTGAGTTTTAAAAATTTCTTTCTTAATATCTACAATACGTTTTTCTTTCATGTGCTTATATGTTTTTTTTACCTTGATCAATTATCTAAAGGTTATAAATGATTGGATTGTATGGTGTGTTTTGGGAAAATAGATGCAATTTACATTCTTGATGATCATCCAAAGGCTAAAAATAATTAATATGATGTGACTTCATGAGAGAAGAGATAATTAACATTAACTGCATTTAGTGTGGATGAACTTTATAGATATAATAGATGATGCCCGTGTGTTGCGGCGAGAATTTTTATAAAGAAATAAGATTTATTTGTGAAGGTGTAAAATAGGGAAGGTTGAATAGAATGATAGATGACAATTGTTTATCTCTTAGCATGATTTTTGTTCTGTGTGAGAGTGCCTAATTTGGAAATTTCAAAAATAAAAAAACAATGCATATATAATTGTACTATTCACATAGTTTGATTTTTTTTCCTTTTACCTGTGTATGTAGCTAGATATAAACTATACGTGGGTAAATACAAAAATGTCAAATGTGCCGATGGAGGATGTGATGATGTGTGATGACTGTCCTAACTATAATAAGAATTGAAAGAAAGTTTTGAGAGAATAGTTGGGATTAGTGCAAAAATTACTTTGAAGGTAGCTTTTATGGCTAGGTGACACATGAGTGCAAAAGAGGGTGACCAACAATTAGACATCTAAGGGCAAGTTTTATAGTATGGGTGACTACACATCCAATTTCATGCATGATATACATATTTAAATTAAGAGGTGATATGTATAATAGGTTACCTCTACCACACAATCCCCAGTATATCTAACACTCTCACATATTTATTGAAGTTTGGGTAGGAGCTGCCCCTTGCATGAGAGGTGACTATTTCTCTCTCATCCTTCTTCTCTCCTCCATCTCACTATTTAATCCTATGTGGTATCTTGGGCATGTGCTTGGATGCCCATAGTACTTGCCTTAGAGCAGGTCCAATAGTACTGCCCGCTGACGACGGTAAAATTGGCCGTGTCACCCAAAGCTTAGTTAAAAAAAACACTTCATATAATAGAAGGCTGCAGTATATGGTTCGGTTATTTGTCAATAGTTTAGACATGCCAATTACTATGGTTTGTTTGCAGACCTCACTGACCTATCACAATTCACAATTCACATGCAAGTATAGGCCAATAGCAGTTGCTTACCTTGTCTCGAAGCTCACGTACAGCCGGTGGTAATATAATCGCCCATTCACACTCTCTTTCCTTCTTTCTTTTTGCCAGCTCATTGCTTTTGCTAGCGGGGCCATTCTACCGCCAGCTTAAAACTCCTATTTTACCCGCTCTTAGAGCATCTCTAGTAGTAGCCCCTACTTTAAAGCCCCTAAAGGTTAAATGGGGGCTGCTCCCAAATCTTTAGAACCTTAAATATGTCATTAACTCTAGCAGTAGCCCCCATAACTTAGCCCCTATTTCTTTTTCTCTTTTATTTTAGTATAGAATTTATATTTATATCTAGTTTAACACTATAATAATTCAAACATAAAATAATTCTAGCGCATGGAATTCAACCATATTTAAATTTACAATTTCAAACAACATGATTCAAATTTTAATTTGAAATTTTCAAACATGGATCTGGGGAGGATGATGCCGGGTAGGCAGGTGGCCAGCCGGGAAGGAGGGTACCAGGGAGGACGCTTGTAGGGGAGGAGGGTGCCGCCGCGCCGGCCAGGAGGAGGCCTACCAGGGAGGAGGATGCCGGCTAGGAGGAGCAGCGTAGATCTGTGGAGGCGCCGGTAGTTGCGGGCTAGCAGGATACTTTGCGCGGAAAAATAGTACCCGTTCGGTGGTGGGATTTTCTCCCGCGCATCTCTGCCATGGATGGGGGCTGCGGAGAAAGCCCCTAGGACTCGGGGCTCGAGGGGATAATTTAGAGGCCTTCTTATTTTAGGAGCTTTAGTAGTGGTCTTATTGGACCTGAGTTTTTAGTCTCAACTCTCAAAATTAGTACAGGGGCTGTGTTAGGACCTCTACTGGAGATGCTTAGATCTAACAGTTACTGTAAGATTTTGACATTGATCTGATGGCTCAAATAAATAAGGTGATGTGGCTGCCTATAATCACAATAATGGCGACAATTATATAAGAATAGTAGATATGATGTACTACAATACTGAATACTGAATAATTGATCTGACTACTGAATACTACTACTCCATTTCATACTGTACTGTCCATATAGATTAGTAGTATAGGAGTAGTTGGGGACGACCACGTGGCCATATCAACGGTCTTGATCCGATGGAGACTTCAGACTTGTAATAGCTGAGAACACACACCACACCAGCGATGATACGAATATACGATAGTGATGTCCTGGTGAAAACTGCATAAAAAGTTGGCTAGACTTAACAAAAAGTTAATTAATCTTCTTTCTCTATCAAAAAAAATGAAAATTACTTTACACGCTTACGACTTTGTCAGTCCTGACTTGGAAGATCTCCTTTTGACATTGTTTTCAGATTAATGATGTTTGGACTTTCATTGTTCAATTAATGATGGATTAATTTTCCTCAAAGAAAAAATGATGGATTGTTTTTTTTTAAAAAAATACTACGAGCCAGAGCGAAAACCACATTTGTTCCCTTCACTGTCGCTGACTGTCTGCAGGTAGCACAGTGGAATTGTTGCCGTTGACCAAACTCTTAACTGCCTCTGACACTAAATCTAATTTACTAAACTCCCTCCGTTTCAAATCAGTACTTATCATTTTAGATTTGTCTGAATAAAAAATATCTAAAATCACTAGTTTTTATAAAGAATCATATAGTTTAATAACATGTGAATTATATGTTATAAAAACTCCCCCTAAGATGAATCTAAAAACATAAACATGATGTCAAACTTTGTTTTTTTAAGAAAAGGTTTAAGGAACATGATCATAAATCTAAAACGATAAATAATTTAAAACAGAAAGTATTTGTTGTCCCTTGTCCATTAGCTCTGCTTATTGTCACTTTTACGACAATCTCACAACATATATGATACCCAAATTGGAGTTGCTGTCAAAGTGGCATCACATTTGAGTTATAAAAAATTAAAAACAAGTTGCTGTTGACTGGAGTTAGTAACAGAAGTAACAACACATTATTGGTAGAAAGTCCCTAATTTTCCTTTCCTTGGGTCATATCCTCTGAATCTGAAAAGGAAATACACGAGCCTTAAAATGGACAGTTTGACACATAAACAAAGACATAAATCAAATCAAATAAATACAAAAAAATGAAAAAGAAATGTGAAAAATGGAGAGAGAGAGAGAGAGAGAGAGAGAGAGAGAGAGAGAGAGAGAGAGAGAGAGAGAGAGAGAGAGAGAGAGAAAGAAATCCGGTCAACTTTCGCCTGCTCCCTCTCAAGTCGCCGCTACGTCCGCACTGGTGCAACTAAGCCAAGCCACTCTCTGACTCGATCGCCTCTCGAAAGGAAACCAATCTGATCGAGAAGAAGAAGCCGCCACGCCACGCCACGCCACGCCGCGCCGCGCCGCGCCATGCCGCTCGCCTGCTTCGCCGCACGCGGCGGCGGGGGCGCGGGCGCCTCGTCGTCGTCGTCCCCGGCGCCGGCCGCGTCGGCGACGTCGGTGTACTGGACGCACCTCGGCACCGTCACCCTGACGTGGTCGCGCGGGCAGCTCGGGCTCGTCCTCGCCGCGGAGCTCCACCTCGCCGGGGAGGGCGCCGCGCCCGCGCTGCGGTTCTTGCTCCGGCCGTTGCTCCCGTGGCGGCGGCGAGGGTGCAAGAGGTTCGCCGGCGGCGGGCACGCCGTCGCGTTCACGTGGGACATGTCCCGCGCCCGCCTCGCCGGACGGCGGCCGGAGCCCGTGGCGAGGTATTCCCTGCATGTGTGCGTCGACGGGGAGCTCGTGCTGGCGGCGGGCGACCTCGCGCTGCTCGCCCCGTCCGCCGGGTTCCTCCTCACCCGCCGCGAGAACGCGGTCGCCGCCGGCGGCGGCGAGGCGTACGCCACCACCGTCGCCGTCGCGGGGGGGAGGCACGAGGTGTCGATCGCGGTGGAGGACGCCGTCATGTGGGTTGCCATCGACGGCGAGAAGGCGCTCCAGGTGCGGCGGCTCCGGTGGAAGTTCCGCGGCAGCGAGAGGCTCGACCTCCCGCGCGGCCGCGTCCGCGTCTCGTGGGACCTCCACGGCTGGCTCTTCGCCGCCGACGCCGTCGCGGTGTTCGTCCTCCGGTTCGAGACGGCCGACGTCGCGGACACCTCCAAGATCGACATGGAACGTGACGCCGGCATGCTCGCGCTAAGGCAGAGCTCTTTCAACAGGAAGCACCACCACCACGGCGGCGGCGGCGGCGCCGCCGCCGAGAGCTGGTGCAGCAGCGACAGCGACAGGAGAGGGTGGAGGAGGGGGCCGTTCAGGTCGGGGTCGGACTCGTCGCCGGCGGTGTCGGTGGCGTCGACGTCGGCGGCGTCGTCGGCCGGGAGCATGGCGACGGTGGCCGACTGGGCCACGGCGGAGGAGGCGGCGATGAACGACGGCGGCGGCTTCTCTCTCGTCGTGCACCTCTGGAAGACGAAGAAGAGGAGGTAATTAATGGCCATGCATCCATGGCGTCCATGGCGTTGGTGCATTGCGTTGGATTGTATGGAAAAAAATTATATGTTATTTTTTGCTTGTGAATTTGTGATTGGTAATTCATGATTGCCGCATTCGCGTGCAAGATGATGAGAAAAATTTTGTGTGGATAATCAAGTGAGAAAATTCGTGGGTACAAGTTTTTTTTTTTTTGTATTCAAATATTCTTGCTTGAATTTGTCCAGAGAGCAGGAGGATTTTGCAGTCATTTTTGTTTCATTGTTTGTGAAGCAAAAGATAATATCTTGTACAACTTCCCTTCTAAACCAAATTGCTATACATGTGTGAATACATTTTTGTTTAGAGATTTAGGTTGAAATTTCTAACATTTAGATTGACTCCAACTCTCCGAGATTTGTATCCCAACATTTTGTTTTCTCCATCTCTAATGACTCCGGCAAGGCAACAACCATTGACCAATATATTTTTGGGTTAGGGTGATAGTGGAAAGACGGTGGGATGATCAGTTAATTATCTCAGACTCCTTTGGAACAAAGGTTTAATTTTTTTTTAAAAAAAACGCAGGATGAGTATCTTTTGGAAGATTTTCTTATATGCTCCTTTGGAACAAAGGAATGTACCCTTTGAAATTTGAATGAAATGACCAGATTCATGAAAATTTGGAAGGAAATCTAACATGAGCTAAACTTTTGGAAAATTTTCCTTTGTGTTGTTTTGTCTCCAAATTCATATAAAAGCATCCAAACAACATGGTTGAACAATTTCCGAATTTTTATATTCCTTAAGATTCCACATGACTATATTTCTCGCATTTCATGTGCTTTTTCAATTCCTACCTCCCAAAGAACATTCATTTTAATTTTAGTGGCAATCTCATAAATTCACTCCACAAAACCACTATTGAGAATTGCAGGTCTCATTTGAAATGCACGATTTAGGCTCGTTTCCTTTATGAGTATACCTCGGTTTTTAAATTGTTAAATGATACATTTCGCATTATAACTTTCTGTATATAAGGCCTGATTTAGTTCCCAAATTTTTTTTCCAAAAACGTCAGATTTAATCTTTGGACATATGTATGAAGCATTAAATATAGATAAAAGCAAAAACTAATTACACAGTTTGCATGAAAATCGCGAGACGAATCTTTTGAGCCTAATTAGTCCATGATTAGCCATAAGCGTTACAGTAACCCACATGTGCTAATGGCGGCTTAATTAGGCTCAAAAGATTCGTCTCGCGGTTTCCAGACGAGTTATGAAATTAGTTTTTTTATTTGTGTCCGAAAACCTCTTCCGACATCCGATCAAACGTCCGATGTGACACCCAAAAAATTTTTTTTCGCCAACTAAACAAGGCCTAAGTTGCTTAAGAATATCATACGAATCCATTTTTCAAATCAATAATAATTAAAACTCAATTAATCATGGGCTAATGTCCTTTTTTTATATATTTTTTTTGCCCTAACTTCGATCAATCAATCTTCAGTAGAAACCAGCACACCTTAACAAGAGTTTCTTTTTAGCCGTTGTTCAATTTCCCTATAATTTCTGCAAAATTCATCAAATCCAAAGAGACCTCAAATTTTAAGGACGGCGGCGTTTGATTCCCCCACCCTTCACCGTCGCTTACCACTCTCCTCTAGCCGCCGGCGCCTCCGCCGCGGCCGTGGCCGCCGTCGGTCACTTCCATTGGCGACCACCCCTCGCGCATGGTTTCTTCCGCCTCTACCGCCGCTCTCCTCCCCCTCCCCCGAACACTCTGACGACGCCCAAAGCGCCACCCGACTCACCTCCTCCGCTGCGGCGGCAGGTGGAGCGAGACTACGACGTGGACGGCACCGACGGCGGTGGTCCGGCGCGACGCGCGACGTGCTCCTCCCACAGCATGCTCCTCGATGAGCTCGCGTGCGCGGGCGGGGGATGCGCACGAGGCGTTCGACGAAATGCTCGCGTCGGACAACTTCATGGTCATGGTCAAGCTGCACGTACGGGTGGATGTTGCAGTTCGACCTCGCCTCGCCTCGCCTGCAAGCTCATCCTGGAGATCGGGGGGGGGGGGGGGAGCACGGGTTGGAGGCCGGCATTGCCATGAACTCAATGCTCATCACGGGGTTTGCCGGCTGTGGCGCATGCAGTGAAGGTCGCCGAGGCATGGGGCATCCTCAGACTGAATGCTGAATAAGTGATGTACACTTGCACGTCCAGTGTTAAATGCATATTGCCGCCATGGCCGTGACGGATCGGGCTAGTTGTCCTCCCAATGTTATCACCTACAACTCTGTTCAGAGCAGGTTTCAACAGTAGTAGAACCAGCGGTTGGAAGCACAGTATGCTCGCCTACAATACATATACCTTAATGGCCTCTGCAAGAAAGGTAGTGCAAAGGAAGTACTTGATCAGTTGGATGTTATGCTAAGTGAAAGGATTGGATCCCTCGGCTTTTACATCGAGTGTTCTTCCGAATTGCCTTCTCCATGACTGAGGGTTTCATATGCCTTGTGCTTGTTAGCGAGGGTCTGCAACTCTGCATACAACACTCTGATGAGCGGGCTGTTAGATATGGGCAAATGGCTGTTCTGAAGCTCTTGACCAAGTACATGATCGACAAAAGTATCGTCCAATCGCAAAGACATTCAACATTTTTATTCATAGTCTTTGGCTCTTTGCATTAGGGAGAAAGTCTTCCATAACCAAGAGCCTGGTCCATGGTCAAGGTTTTACTAATGTTGTGGCATACATTATCCTCATTGATTGGCTTTGCTGCCTTAGAAAACTTAATGAGTTGAAGTACCTAATTTCGTGCACGACAGCGCAGGATATTGCTCCAGAATCCAGATGAAGTCACTCAGATACATTATTGGTTGATGAGATTATGCAGAGATGGAAAATTTGACAAGGATACTTATATTTTTATGAAATCACTTAAAGTGGATTTCCAATGGATCTTCTGGCTTGTTTAGAGTGGTGAATAATATAGAGATTCACCGTGTATTTGAAGGAAATGGTGTACTCTCTGATTGCCATATGTTCGACTTTATAATCAAGTCATTCTATAGGGCTGGTTTTTGTCACAAACGAGACATTTTTAAACTTAACCTTATACTGGATACATTGCCAAACAAATAACCTAATACTTGTGGATTGCCGAAGGTAGCAGGTTCATGATTGCAGATTTGCTGGCAAGATTACAACTTGTAAGTTACTTTTGCTTTCCAATTATTTTGTCAGTAAAACTCGACCTTCCAGATGACAATGACAATAATCCCTCCATTTATTGCTTATCCTAGATGTCTAGATCGCAGTCAGTCAACGTTGTGAAAGATTGACCACTAATATGCATAAAGGTAGTTTGATTTGTTATATGGAAGGGAAATCCCTTGGTGCCTAAGGGAACCGGCACTTCAATCAGCAAACCCACCATCATTCTCTTTGAATGTTTATCAGCAATCTATTCTTTTCTTCCACTTAATATTACCAAATTCCTTTGGATTTCAGGTTGCCACTTTTCCAGCTGCTCATGTCTTTCTATGGAAAGAAGCATCGAGTCCCAAAACCAAAGTGATGTGTCAATATCAAGCAAGCCATGGGAATTCAGGTTAACCTTGCTTTATTTCTTTAAGGTGCCAGTTCAGCCATATTCAGGATTTCATATTCCATTCCTATTCGGCGGTTAATCATGTGATCACAATTTAATCACATCTTTAATTACTTTCTCCTGCCAGCTCCTCGCGCCGCCTCCCAGTTGCCCGCATTGATAATCATGGGCCTATGGTCAGGTTGGATTTGGACTCCCTGTTGGTTGTCCATACCAAGCATGGACCGCCAATAGACTTATGCCTGCTATAATATTTTGTCCCCTATAACAAATTAGCAGCTGCCGAAATTTACAGCATAATTTCAAAGTAAGTTGATTTTAGGGTATTTTCAACGTAGTTTCTTTTTACCATTGTCTTTTAAGTTGCTAAGAATACATGTATAAAAGTTTTACGTTGCTAATAAGCCGTGTGGCATATAATCGCTCTTGGCCAACTGATGGCTTTCTGTTCATATATTTCTTGTACTAAATGCTTAATAACTGAGCTATCCTGTCTAACTATTTGTTCTTAGATTGTAACTATCAGTCTCTTGAACTACTATTTGTTCCTAGATTAATTGTAGCTACCAGCTTCTTGAACAGGTCGATTTGCTACGTCCCACATGATGCCTGCACTTCATCTTTTGGATCTTCGGCGACTGCCTTGTTGTTGTCTATCCAAATACTTATACAGTATGCAACTTCTTCAAAAAGTGCAGCCAAGGTAATTTTTCTGTCCCTAACACCACAATATTGCTACTCTTGTTTGCTGGACACCCTACCAAACGGAAAGTCAGATTATATCTGGTGATATCGGAAATTGGAGCCATCTTTGACATAGTTGCCCACAGTTTCTCTTTACAAGGAAAAGGAGTTGTTGTCTAAGGATCCAGTACTGTTTGTGTATTAGTATAAAAAATACAACTTCAGCGCTCGAGATATAGGAGTCAAATCCGTACTCAAGAATCTGATATCTCGATGCTAAACGCAAAATGAAATTCTAAATTTGAAAAATGCCAATAACCAAAATATTTTTTGTTTCATAAGTTACAATCTCGGTATCTCCATTCTCAAATAGTTGATGTCCTAAAGTATGCAGTGAAACCTCGGTATGTTTACCAACTATTAAATGAAAAAAAAGGACTACAGTATGTATAAATGATTTTAATAGTTTTATCATGAAAAATAGTTTCATGTAGTTATATTTTAATTTTTTTAATAAATATATAGTTAAATGAAGTGATGATGAACAGGCACCGAAGATTGTGTCAACATCCAAAACACAAACTAACAAAGATCAAATGTAGTAAATTTTAGGGTCACCTGATTTTGAGGTCCAGGTTTGTCTCCCACTCCAAACATGATATGGGCTTGATAACCTGACAGTACACGGCTACAGCATTGTTGAACCACAATTGCTACAGTGTTCGCTATAGGACTTATCCACTACAATTTGTTTGTGAACGGTGTTTTTTCCAGCTATCTGAACTGCTTTTGCTTTTCTGTCCAACAATCGTAGCGGTGGACACCAAAGTTCCCAGTTCTTGACTGGGGTACTGGCACGAGAGTTTATTGGAGTCTTAACCAAGGTCTTATCCCTTCTGTCAAAAAAAAAAAATCCTACCATAAACTTGGATAAGTTCAGGGTGCATTCAGATGGAGGGGTTGTGATCTTCCACGTGCATGCAAAATAGAGTGACTCATTAATATATGATTAATTAATCTCAGAAAAAACTTGAAAAAAAATATTTATATGATTTTTAAGAAACTTTTGTATAGATATTTCTTTTTTTTTAAAAAAAAACCATGTAGCGGTTCGGAAGATGTGCTAACCGGAGTAAAAGAATGATAACTTTACTTTAGAAAGTCCGAAAATATATAATTTTTTGAACGGATGGTTTCCATGACAGCCGAACTCAGGACGAAGGGAGTACATGAGAGCCAGACTCAGCATGAAATCTAACCAGAGTTTCCCAAACCGTCGGTAACCGCGCGGTTACTGTGGTTACTGGCCTTACCGCGGGGTACGGTAATAGAAATACCACGGTAACCTCCTTAAATTCAAATAAATTTAAAAAATAATTTGAATTTTTGATAAATTTTGCGTGGTTTCGTACGGTTTTTCACGGTTACCGCGCGATAACTGTGCTTACCGCCGGGGCGTGGTAACCCTGGCCTCGACGGTTTGGGAAACCCTGAATCTAACACGTGAAGACCATAGCAATAGACCAGAACAGAGAACTAACGCTCTTATTGCTTGGCAGAGAAACTAGAGTTTTTTTCGGGTATTTTTTTTAAATTAATAAAGATATATATAAATTATAAATTATTAAAACTCTTATTTTATTTATAAATTATTTTTTATAGCTAATAAACTGTTACAGTTTATAATCGACATAACCGAAACTGCTGTGGGGAATGGACATATGGTCTAAACATTAATTGTTTATATAGATAGTTATTTGAAAGAAATAGCAGTATATATTTGTGATGATAAATTATTTTAGACTTTTTAGACATTATATGTATTGAGAAGTAAGCGACTAAGCAGGAATATTTGGTTTCAAGTCACACTTTGTTATGTCTAAGGTTAGGTAAATTTGATCAACTTGATAGATGTTCGGTTGTAACTATAGTTGTGGCAAGATTCCTTTATAATAAATTGGGTTTCATGTGCTAATGACTAAAAGTATGACAAGATTCCCTCAACCTTTGTAAATTGTGTCTAAAAAGTTGATCGCCTCATCTTAGATAAAGTGTGGTAATTTTTATTGACAAATGATGCCTAGCAAAATATTGTTGGGAACCAAACAGCCAAATGCTAGCGTCTATATGATCACTTGGAGATTATAGACAACGCAAGCAGGACTGCGATAATAGACTGCACTGGATCTCAATTGATCGTGCAGTGTACTATTACAGATCGAGCACACGTAAGAGCAAGAATCATAATATAACCAGGCTGAATGTATAGATCTTTATAGCCTATCTCTCAGCCGAGTGGTTAGCTCTTTATGATTCATCTGTTTGTCTCATAAATTTTCTTGGTTTATGTGCCTAAGCCGGCTGTAACCTTAGAGCAGGTACAATAGCAGACTATTAGCTAGCTATAAACATATTTTAATGAGATATATCTCTCAGCCGAGTGGTTAGCTCTTCATGATTCATCTGTTTGTCTCACAAATTTTCTTGGTTCATATGCCTAAGCCGTCTGTAACCTTAGAACAGGTACAATAGCAGACTATTAGCCAGCTATAAACATATTTTAATGAGATAAAAGATGAGAGAGAAGAGCAGTGGGCTACATATCTATAGCCAGCTGTAGCACGGACTTTAAGACGCAATGTGTGTATGACATGTGGGACCATATATTAATAGTATAGTAAGCAACTATTGTATGAATTAGCTATTAGATTGATTATAGATGAATTAAAGCTAGTAGTGGGCTATACTATTAAACTTGCTCTTACAGCATGTTTCTCATATCTCTCCTTTACCCTCTCTCATCCATCTCAACTTTCTGCTTTCTCACAGCTCTTATACCTGTTCTAAGCTGCAACCCTTGAGAAAAGCCACGTTGGTGGGTGGGCCAGGTGCAGAATTATTGCCCGCAGGAATTAGTTGGGAGGTGTGCAGTGCACTAGCACTGCAAAATGCAACCCCACTCGCCATAAAATTCTGCCCCCCCCCCCCCCCCTCTCTCTACTCTTCCGTTGCATGGGTGCACTGCACGTTCCATGATTTCACTCAACCAAACCTTTGCCCCCAAATAATTCCAGCGGCCGGCAGGGAGACAGCCGGAGAAAGGCACTGTCCATTGTCCACTGCACCTTTTTCTCTCCCATAGCCCAGTTCCAGCTACTACCACGCCCAGTGCCAGGCCACCCTACTCACCTGAACATATATCTGCAGCTCCAGAGATACATACAAGTCCCAAGTTTAGGGTCCTATTTGGATGGGGGACTAATTTCAGCCCCTCACAAAAATTATAGGTGGTATTTAGATTCAGGGACTAAACTTTAATCCCCGTCACATCGAATATTTGACACTAATTTGGAGTATTAAACATAGACTAATTACAAAACTAATTGCATAAATGAGAGCTAATTCGTGAGATAATTTTTTTAAGCCTAATTAATCTATAATTAGCACATGTTTACTGTAGCATCACATAGGTTAATCATGGATTAATTAGGCTCAATAGATTCGTCTCGCAAATTAGCAAGGTTATAGATTCATTAGGCTACGTTTAATACTTCTAATTAGTGTCCAAACATCAAATGTGAACTTTAGTCCCTGATCCAAACATGCCCTTAGTCCCGTGAGGGACTAAAGTCCCTCCCATCCAAACAACCCCTTTATTTCCAACACGTTTATAATTTCTTCTTGAAAAATGTTCGTAGTAATGCTCTCACTCCAAGTCTTTTTTTTTATATCTGCAGCTCCAAGCAAATTGATCCCAAACTTGATCTAGGAAGTTGTCGTTAAGGGATGTTCTAATCAGTTACGAGTACTATGTCGTTCCAAAATATAACAATCTAATATCCGATGAGACATATCCCTTTCAGAGCTGATTTGGGAAGCTATCGTTAAGGGATGCTCTAATGATTTTAAAAACTTTTTTTGAACCTTCTAAATTTTTATTTTGTTTAAAATAAACACTCCAAAACCAAATCTGGTCTTTTGGTCACGCTAGTTAAGATTGGCACGCCCATTGCTAGCAGCGTCCACGTCAGGCGGGATGGTTGATCAAAAGGTTCCCATTTTAAAAAAAAAATTTGGAAGAGTTTATTTTAAAAATAAAAAGTTAAAAAGTTGAAAGATAATTAAAAATTCTGTTCTAACCAGCTTATGCGGATAATATGGATTATACATGTGACACTTCCAAATTTACGAATCCTCAATAATTTGAACCCCGACGGCTAGAAGTAACAAATTCAATAGAAGTATTATTCATCAGAGAATTTATTGAGGATTTTCGTGAAACTGAACAATTCACATGAAACACCAAGAATATTCATGTGTCCCACTAAGGAAGCCCTCATGTCAGCTCTAACAGCTAACAATGTTCTATCACTTATCCATGTACACTTTATTTCTAATGTTTAACATATTACTCCCTCCATATTTTAATGTATGATACCGTTGACTTTTCGACCAACGTTTGACTATTCGTTTCATTTAAAATTTTTGTACAAATATAAAAATATTTATGTCATGCTCAAAGAACATTTGATGACGAATCAAGTCATAATAAAATAAATAATAATTACATAAATTTTTTGAATAAGACGAATAATCAAACGTTGGACAAAAAGTCAACGGTGTCATACATTAAAATATGGAGATAGTACTTAATTTGTTTAAAAAAACCAAGAATATTCCTGTGTCCGAAGGGGTTCGGAAGTCAAATGATTTTCACTTAGAATCGTGGACTTTCTGCTAAACTAAAAATGCGATGCGAGCTTTGATATGTGCACCTATTTTGCGTTTCTCCAGTAGTGGACAATGGTTGTCAATATTTTGACCATGCATGGCCGCCCGGATTCTGTTTCGGTCCGCCACCGACGTCGTCTCAGCCGTCAACGCCCATTTGCGGTCGCGCCGGTCCACGGCGAGCAAGAACACGGTACACCAACGCGGCATCATAGAAAATTACTTTTTTTCCCTTTTTATAGACTTGTAAGTAAAATTTAAAATTGCATGCCATATATCACATATCACTTTATTTTATTATTTTTTAAAAAATATTTTGAGATATTCTACTTCATCGGTCCCATTTTAAATGCAGTTGTAGATTTCCGTGTCTAACATTTGACCTTTCGTCTTATTTAAAATTTTTTATAATTAATATTCTGATAAAACATGAATAGTACATTGTGATTGGCTTTTTTTTAAAAAATATAATTTTTTTAAATAAGACGAACGGTCGAATGTTGGATACGAAAAATCACAACTACACTTAAAATAGAATAGAGAGAGTACACAATTAGAAAAATAAGAAGACATCAGACAAATAGAGTTTTAAGAAATATACGGATTTCACACCGTTCTTTTCTATAAAAAAAGTTACTTTGAAGTTTAAACCCTAGAGATGATAAGATAGATATACCCATGAATGAATTAGCAAAGCACATATTCTTTCTCTCCTTTTCTTTTTGTTGGTAACTCATATATTCTTTCTCAGCATCAGCATTCGCAACTTTCGGTGTCTGCATCGTAGGCCGGTGGTTAAATCCAAAGAAAAGAAGAGGAATATATTCCTATTGCATCACTCGCCCTAACAATGCACGTCGTTGATTTCGACGTAAAATTGTGCTCGTAGTAAAAGCCAAAATTCACTTCACTAATCCGGCAAACTGACTGAGATTAGATGAACGCTCGAGCTAATTATTAATAAGAGCCTAATTAACCAACCAGAGGGCACTGGCACTAGCAAATCTCGGATTAATTTTAATCTTAAGTTTATGCACAAAGGTTTTTTTTACCGAGTACAAAAAGATGAGATGAAACTGTAAAAAGTAAAGGAATGGCGCGGTTACGTGGCGGTGGTAAACGCCGGGGGAGCGGGCGGTGTCGGCGACGGCGAGGTCGAGAGCGGCCGCGGCGTCACGTTCTTGCCGCCGCCGCCGCCGCCGCCGCCGCCGACGGAGAGGGAGCGGAAGAACGTCTTGGGCCGCGGCGGCGCGGCGGCGTCCGCGCCCTGGCGAGCGGAGCGGCTGCGGATGCTGGCCTTCCCGCCGGGGGCGGTGGCGGTGGCCGGGGGGTCCCCCTTGCGCCGCACCGCGGCGCCGTTGCCCGGGATGACGCAGGTGAAGACGACCCCGATCTTGGCGAGGCGGTTGACCCAGCGCGGGATGCGGGCGCGGACGAGGCGGCGGCACGCGGCGTCGCAGAAGTGGTTGCAGTTGCGGGAGACGAGGTTGTAGGCGTCGCCGGGGAAGTCCGCGGCGAGGTCCGCCATGACCGCGCGCACCTCGGCGCGCGTCAGCTCCGTCGTCCCCACCAGGATCGCCTCCCGGAAGGCGTACCCCGGGCACCTCCTCGGCGCCACCTCGAAGATCCCGCTCCCCGCCCCGTCGTGCGCCCCGTACGCGTACTCCACCCCATGAACTGCAGCACACCACAGACATAGCACACCGGCGTGTCAGCGCCGTCGGTGGCGAACCAGGATCGAAGGCGAGGAAAGCAGAGCGTACATGCCTTGGACGCCGGAGTGGTAGACGCCGAGGCCGAGCCAGCGCGCGTAGCCGTTGGCGGGGGTGACGTCGTACACGTTGAGGTACACCGGGGACGACGACGACGACGACGACGCGCCGCGAGGCAGCTGCTGCCTTGGGGCCCGGGGCGTGGAGGCGGTGGAGGAGGAGGAGGCCGGTGCCAGCGCCGGCGAGGGCGAGGAGGAGGAGGAGAAGGGCGCCATTCGCGCGGCGCGCCGTGGGTGGGCGAGCGGGCGGGCGCACGCACGCACGTCGCGCGCGTCGTTGTCGCGCCCCGCACCCGCGCCGCGCGGCGTCCTCGCGATGCCCGTGTGTGTGTGTGTGTGTTTTTTTCCAGTAAGCGCTACGCTACTGCTGGATTTGTCTCGCGGCGCAGCCTGGCTTGGCTGGCTGGCCGGACGAGACGAGACGAGACGAGCGGCTCTGGCTGTCTCCACATTTTTATTTTTAATTTTGTGCGCGCTTTATTTGGATTTTTGGAACGTGTAATAATTCCGCGCCGCAACCTAAAAAAATCCTAGGTCCAGTTCGGGACACGTGAATCTGAACTTTCCGTATATATGAAGCTAGTGTATGTGGAAAATGTTTTCCAGATGTGCGGGTCGCTTCATTTATACTAGTATATCGTTGGCTTGTTGGAAGGAGGAAATTTTTGTATAAGGCGTTTTGATTGGTAGAAAATTTTACAGAAGAAAAAATTTTAAGAACTTTAAAACAAAAGATTGATTCCTATCTATCATAATTTTCTCTAAAGAGATTTGAAGGAAAGTTAATAATAGCTCCAACCTTTTATAAAAGAGACCTCCTGAGTCTCTCTCATCCGATTCATATGTCTTTTCTATGATCTACTTAAACAATCATTCCTTCTTTTTTTTTATGTTTGGTAATAATCTGTTCTACACTTACATTATCTACGTTTTTCTTATTTCTCTATTTTTTTCAATGATGCTTTTCAAAGGAGTCCTAACATGCTGGAAAGTTAAGATGGAAGGAAGTTTAGTAGATGAAGAATTACATGGGAAATTTGTTAAGAACAAAACGAGTTCACTACAAGGAACAATAACATGGTTGTTGGATTAAAGCCACAGATGGATCAACAACTAAAGCAAATCCCAAACAAACATCATTATTGGGCAGAACAGCATCCGGTCGCCCCCTTGCTTACTAAACCAAAAACACTTCAGTTCACGCACAGCGGCTGACCTGAGAGCAATCTAGCCACTTGCCAAGTCATCACGTGTGTAGTTAATTCACAGTGAGCCATTAGGCGATCATTAGCCATGATACCTGGACAAGCTAAAAAAAAGAACAAATCGGCAAGCTGCCAATTTTATTGAATAGAGGAGTAAACTTTACAAGTAAGAAAATCAAGGCTCAAGACCTTCGGTCCAAATAAGCTAAAATTAAAATTCAAGCCAGCTACCAAGATGCCTCGCCCCCGCCCAAGACTATGTTTTGGCCTCCTCCTTAATTTTAGCCAACAGACTTCCGGTAGATAGCTCTTTGTATTGGAAAATTCTGCAGTTTCTCTTTTTCCATATTTCCCAGTTGACCAGGAGTGTTAGCGTGCGGAGTGCTTTCTTTGGGGCTTCGTTCAAGTTAGCGGTGGCCTCCCACCACTCTAACACCGATGAAGCTGGTTGCCATTGGCCAGGATTCAGTTGACCACACCCAGTCCATTCAGATAACGCCGCCCAGATTTTCCTGGTGTATCTTCATTCTGCGAGAAGGTGGAGAGCTGTTTCTTGGGTGTGTCTGCATAAGGGACAGAAAGAGCTGTTCTGCCAACCCCTGGTTGCCAGTTTGTCAGAGGTCCAAACTCTATTATGGATGATCAACCAGGCAAAGGTCTTGCACTTGTGTGGTGCCCACGGCTTCCATATTAGGATGTTGAAGTTGGTGGCTGTAGTACCTAGGAGCTGCGCCTTGTAGGCCGATGTCACAGTAAATTCACCGTGGCTAGTGAGCTTCCACATTATCTTGTCCTCTTCGTTCTCTGTGAATTGCACATTGTGCACCGCACTCTAGACATTGATTAGCTAACTGACCAGCTCCGTTGTCCAGCCTGAGGCTGCGGGCAGGTCCAGGTCGAGCAGCCATTGGTCTGTAGCTGAGGCCTGTTGTAGCGTGCTATTCTTTTTCTTGGAGGCCGCATAGATCAGGGGAGCTACATCCTTTAGTATTCTCCATTCCAGCCAAGCCGAATCCCAAAAGCTTGCTTTCGCTCCATCCCCTATTGTTATGGTTGTTGCTGCTGCAAAGAGTAACCTATCCGTGTCGTCACAGGGCGTTCCCGATCCCACCCATGTTTTTTCCGGTGATCTCCACTCATTCCAAAGCCATCGCAGACGTAAAGCCCTTGCAAATTTCTCCAAGTTCAGGATGCCCAGTCCTCCTGAGGCTGTAGGGAGGCAGGTCCGTGTCCAATTTATTTTGCACTTGCCCGCACTTGCCCCCCGTCAGAGCTTCACCGCATGCCCATAGGAATTTCCTCCTTTGCTTGTCGATGACCTCTAGGGACTCTTTTGATGCTTTCAGTCCCGTTAGAAGAAAAACAGGTTGTGAAGTGAACACCGATTTAACCAGGGTTTATCGCCCCTCCAGGCCAATGTGTCTTCCTTGCCAGCTAGCTACTCGACTCATCGATTTGTCGTAGAGAGGTTGAAGGCCTACTTTGCGCAGACGACCAGTGGACAGAGGCAACCCCAGATACTTCATCGGGAAGCTTGCCCTAGTTGTAGGCGTGCCATGTAGAATGTCATCGAGGTCCAGGTTATGTTATCACATATGATCGGCGCCACTTGCAATTTTTGTAGGTTCGTGCATAATCTTGATACCTTTCCAAAACGACTTAGCAGATCGGCGAAGGCGCTCACATCCTCTTTGATCGGATTAATGAAGACGGCCGCATCATCAGCATTCATAAATGTGCAGAAGCGCACAACTCTGCCCCGCAGCTTACTTAGAACTCATATGTCGGTAACCTTGTCTAAAAGGCGCTGGAGGGGGTCTATAGCTAAGATGAAGAGGAGGGGGGATAGGGGGTCACCCTGTCGCAAACCCTTCCCGTGTCTGATTGTTTCGACCCGGATTCCGTTCAGGGTGATCTTTGAGGTGGAAGTGGACAGCAATCCGGTTATCCATTCGCGTCATTTTTACGGGCAACCTCTATTTTGGAGGAGCGCAAGTAGGTAGTCCCATCTGACCAAGTCAAAAGCCTTGGAGATGTCCTGGACAAGCTGAAAGGTGCATTAGTTAGTTACCGGTTCTGTATTGATTGCAAATTAGCAATTGATGTTTGCTTCCCCTGGAATGGATGACTCATCCCCTGTTTGGGAATTCGGATTTCGGTGAGGTGAGTGATCTTGATCTCCATTTAAATATATCATCTATGGTGTAGACTAGTAATGTAATACTATCACCGTGAGTAGACTATCATAGTTCTCAAAAAAAAAAGAGTGGAGTATCATACAATGCCCACACTTTCGTCTGGTGGAGTACTCTTGGATACCAAAGGCGTGGATAACAATAATAATTAGTAGCTGAGAAAAGGGAGACATGTTCTATTTCAAAATATGGATATAAGTAACAGCATTGTCTCAGGTGACATGGTGTATATTCTTTTGACGTAGAGAATAAACAATCTCATCTTTTGCATTTAAATCAACGAAAATGCTTTGATGCACCTGTTTGTGGGCATACAACATCTATCTATACAATACTCAGCAACAGCCTATGTAACAGACGTAAGAATAATATGGTATGGAGATGTAATAACTCGAAAATGCCTAAAAAGAAAAAAAAATCATCGCCCTGTGTGTACAAAAGTAACGGAACTTCTGAAGGGTCAGCAAGTCAGCAGCTGTACGACGCCTCCTGAACAAACTTCTCCACTGTACAACGATCAATCCTGGACCTAACCTCTTGTGATGCTGTTCGCCTAAACCTGTGCATGCTTATGTACGGTCACTTGGTGGACTTTGTGCGGGCTCAGCTCTGCTTCTTCCCGCCTGCCAAGATGCGGGAGATCTGGAGGCCTCGGCTGAAGGCCTGGTTGAAGAGCAGCCTCGTCTGGAACTCGGAGACGAAGGGGAACCACGCCAGCACGGCGACGGGGACGAAGATGAGGATCCCCATCAGGTACTCGTATCCCCTCGAGAGGGCCTTGACGGATCCCCATAGCCCGAAGGCCTTCACCACCGGCTTGCTGGCTTGAGATATCTGTGACAAAACAGATTGGAAGTCGGTGAATTGTTTTTCTCACGATGACACAAACAGTTAGGCGATATGTACTGGATAAGTTTAAGCCGCCAGGTGATAGATACATATTCGCCTAAGACATGTTACAGTTAGATCATGACACAAGTTGCAGAATGACTGCCAATGCCAGACAAGTACTCTGAATAATGAGAAAGACGTGTTAGTGTGGAAAATTGAGAGTAAATAGGGCTTCTCTTTTAGATCCTTTCATAGAACTTTGGCGGTCCCGGCAAGATTCTTTCATAGAGCTTTGCAATACTACTATAACATTTGAACTTCCCATACAAAAATCTCTGGGAATTCAAGGTGCCTTTGAAAATTAGAATATTTATATGGCTGATTCTGAAGAATAGCCTTTTAACCAAATATAACTTGCTGAAAAGAGGGTGGAAGGGGAAGAAAAAATTTACTCCTGACCTGCCCTGGAATATGATACAGCTAGCACTTCTGATCTGGGGGTTATCCATGACACACATCATTTACTTTTTTTTAGATAATGGATTAAATAAAACCTGGCCTCTACATCCTGAAGGATGTAAAACACATCATTTACTGGGTGCTTGGCTAAATAAATATGACAGAAACTTACAGAGAAGGATAGCGATCAGAAGTGCAGCTGTATTGTGGGCAATTTTGAAGACTAGGAACAAAGCCTGTTTCAAGAATGAATCATTATCACACCCAATTGAGCTAATTCATTATATCAGCTCTCGGATCTCCTCGTGGGCAATTTTGCAGAGGTCGGTGGCAAATACAAGAAATCTATAATGGGGTCTCCATCTGCTAAAGCAGGTAGCAAATGACATCTACAACTCAAAGCATGGCTGGAGGATAGGAGCTGGCAGACTGGAATAGAAGAACCTGGCGAGGGAAGCTCTAAGAAACAGAAGAAAAGGAATGAGTGATGAAATGGAAGATAGGAAGCTGATCCTCTTTTGTTCAATCTGTTGATGTCCTGGTACATGTTTTGGAGACAAAGTTTCTGCTGAGGCTGTATTTGCAGGAGGCATGGATGGATGAAAAACTTTGGATTTCTGTAGCTCTGTTAGTTTAGCTGGTAGTTTGGGTGAAGGTTCCACAGGTGATGGGATGGCATTGTTTGTGAGCTTTTGCTGGATGTTCGAATTTCTGTTTTCTGGTTGTTTTCTGAACTCCGTAGCCCGTCGTGTTTCTAGAAATTGAAAGGGGGGAGCACTGCTTCTCTATTTCATCAATAATAATAATAATAATAATAATAATAATAATAATAATAATAATAATAATAATAATAATAATAATAATAATAATAACTGTAGCATCC